ACTGCAGGCTGTTCACAATTTGTTTTGCTATAGAAAAAGATTTTTGGTAATAGAATAAAGGAAAAGTATAGTGTGCTAAATGTCTACAGATATTGCTAACTCATTAGTATTTTTTTAAGTACTATCCTTTTTAATTCTACACGTAAGCAATACCTATGGGACAGACTGGTCTGTGGCTTGGCATGCCCTAGGAGAGTGCTTTCCAGTGCAGACTAAATGCTATGGGCGTTTCTTGTACTCTTGTATTTTTGAGAGTACATATTTAGTGAGAATCCAGGTATTGCACGTTCATGTAATACATTCCATGTGCCACCACAGAAGTCTATTAAAAATAGTTCTTGTTCTCTGGTTGCTAAAGAAAACACATTTTCTTCCTTGTGATAAAATAGTTTTATAAAATTGTCAAAACTGATGGAGGCTGTTCAGTGTAGACTTAATCTTTCAGGCTTCGCTGAGTTTTAGCCATAAAATGGTTTTAAGTATTTACAGGCAGTAACAGTATCGGTGCCAGAGACTGTTCTCTCGGCATCTTGGCTTTGTACGTCATTTTAAAATTTATGGTCTGTGTTCCTCAGCCAAATGCTTGGCCCAGCGTGAGGAAAAGAAGTAACACACAGTCATTTATTTTCTGTGGGGAGATTCTCTCAGAAGCACTGCACGTCTTGGGTGGAGTTTCATTGTCTAACCATAGGTGGCTAATGTCATTCGCAGTGCCGTGCGATATCCTGGTTGACAGTCATTATCTGCTCAAGCAGGGCATAGTTCTGCTGAGGTCTTGTGCCATCTGTGCCAGCTCTCTATGGATGCCTTGGATAGCACAAGTCACCTAAAAAGGCACTAGCTGCCTCTCTTCAGGCTGCTGAATCATGCCTTTGTTTTTCTTGAAGTTAGCTTTTGTAGAAACATTAATAATAGAATGAGGTGTGGGAAGGAGAACTGAGTATTTTAAACTGATTGATCAGTCTATTCTTCATTGCTTTTTGTATTTTAATCACCATTGACAGACAAATGCTTCTTGGTGTGGATTTTGTTTTGTTCTGAAGCTTAAACCTTGCAGTGCAAAATCTATACAATACAACCTGATGTATTCAAAACAAAACAAGCAAAGTATTCTTTTTTTTTCCTTCTTTTTTTTTCTTTTTTTCTCTTCTCTTTCCCCCAACACTTTACCTCTTAATCCTTACCAAATCTTTTGCAGTGACTTATGGGACAGTGAGTTCCAGTATGTACTATTACACAAGGGTTATGTCGCAGCTCTTCCTGGAAACACCTGTATCAAAAATGGAGAAAACTGATTTCAAAACTTTGTCCACAATGGATGACTTCTGGAAGGTAATCTAAAAACAATTTTTTATCTCTCCGTTGCTGTGATTTGCTTGTCCTGTCATGGCCTGTAAATTTAACCTGCAGGATCTTTTTTCTAATGCAGTGGGGGGTGTGCATGAAGATCTCTGTGCACAATGTCAAAGCTATGGAACAAAGTAGGCCTTTAATATGTGAAAGTTTAGAACCTAGGTAATGCTAGTGGGGCAGGGTAGGGCAAGGTTGCGGAATGTCTTTGGAGGACAGGTAACAGTAAGGCCTTATGTCAGAAAAATTATCAACTGCAATTCTAACACGTCCACAGAATGAAGACTTATAAAAACAGTGCTGGCAACATGCAAACTAAAATTGTCTTCCTCCCCAGTTCACAGAAGGCCCTTTACTGGATGGTCTTTACTGGGAGATGTGGTACAACAACAAAACCATGGCAGAAAACAAAAGCTTCATTTATTATGAGAACCTGCTCCTAGGGGTGCCTCGCATTCGGCAGCTGAAAGTGAGAAATGGTTCGTGCTCAATACCTGAAGATTTAAAGGATGAAATCAAAGACTGCTATGATGTCTATTCTGTAGCTAATGAAGATACTGCTCCTTTTGGACTTCGAAATGGAACAGCGTATGTAGTATTCCTGTAGACACTTTTTTTTCTTTTTTCTGACCTGGGTTATGGTGAATTACACAATAAGTCTCTCGGCAGAGGCAACTCTGCATTTGGTGTATGTTCTGTCTGTAAAGCCAGGTAAATCCAGAGCAGCTGCCAGTTCTGCTCGTGGAGAAACCTTACCAAACTTGGAGAGGACTGTGCTCTTGATCCACTTGAGTTTAGGTGCTGTCATTGTGCCATTGGTAGCAGTTATGCATGGGAGACACACTGTGGTCTGAGTGCAGCACTACAACTCATGAGCACCTGTTCTGTAATTCTGGATTGTATTACCGCAGTGGGTTTCACTGAGTTGTCTTCCCTAGCTAAAAACGGGAATAGCACTGCCTCTCTTGGAAGACGATGTGTGAGTTGAACTGTAAAAGGTTTTGGAGGGGGAACGTAACTATGTAAATGCCCATTTTCTTTCTTTCCCTGAGGATCGAAATTCTGTGTGAGAGGATTGACATGTTCTCTTTTTACAAATAATATACTTGTGACCCATCTTTCTATCTTAATTTTGTTGTGTTAGTCAAAGGAACTTTGTAAGTTCTTTCTCCAGGGTACAAGCATCAAAACTTTCTACAAGTACCTCTTAAATGAAAGCAGCTTTAAGTAGCTGATACTTTTTCTTGGTCAGGTTTTGTTGGTATCTGTTTTGTTAACTGTAAGTTGAAAGTGGAAAGACTAACATGCTCTGTTTCACTTACTTCTGAACTAGTTGGACGTACACCAATGAGAAGGATTTGAATGGGAGCAGCCACTGGGGCTTGATTGCCACATACAGTGGGGCTGGTTATTACCAAGACCTCTCAAGGACCAGAGAAGTGACAGCTGTGCAGATTGCTAGCCTTAAGAAGAACCTGTGGCTGGACAGAGGGACCAGAGCAGCTTTCATTGATTTCTCCGTATACAATGCAAACATCAACCTATTCTGCGTTGTCAGGTGTGAACAAAACCATGACAGTGTTCAAACTGCACAGTGTAGGTTGTAGACTTGGGGTTTTCTTGTGATTGCTTTGTTTTGAGGATATGGGTAAGCGTATGTTGTGTATAAAGGAGACAGACAGCTGACGTGGCATGCCTCCCTGTCAAAGAAGTGGGACTCCACATGGCGACTGCACTCGCCATCTGGAGGCAGTTCTGACTTTCCTGATGCCGCAACAGCTTGGGTGCGGTTTGCAGGTGACTTCTGTAGTGAGCTGGCTTATTAAAGTAAATAGTGGATATACAACATCAGTCTTTAGTTTAGACAGCATGAAACAGATGCAGATGAAGACAGGTCTCTTTGTCTCTGTTTTCTTACTGTTCCTGAAATGCTTTGGGTTTTAGTCAAAATTGAGTGCCGTCAGGTTTACATCTTCTGTTGTGTGTAGTGTCTTCTCTGAATCATACGTGGGCTTTTGCCTGTTTCCCATTATTTAAATAACTATGTAAATAAAACCATGTATCTTTTAGTAGTGCTTTTTATTAACGCTGTGTAAATGAATTTTTTTTTTCTTTGCCTTTTTTTAAATGCAGGTTGTTAGTGGAGTTTCCAGCGACTGGAGGCCTTGTTACGTCTTGGCAGTTTCAGCCAGTGAGGCTGATTCACTACATCTCCACTTTTGATTTTTTCCTGGCAGCCTGTGAAATGGCATTTTGTCTTTTTGTTTTTTATTATATGGTGGAAGAGATCTTAGAAATTCACATTCATAGACTGCACTACTTCAGAAGTCTCTGGAATTGCCTTGATATCCTTATCATTGTGGTAAGTAATCTTTATAATAAGGCTAAAATTGCTTTCTGAAATCACTTTATGTGAGATGTTAATGACTCAGTATTCCTATTGTGGGTTTAAGGGATAGGGCCATCATTAAGAATGATACTTACAGACTATTGGGCTAAAAGACAATTTTCGTCTGTGTTGTAACGGTGTGTTTTGCAAACTTGCTTGTTCTGTCTTTGGGGGTTTCAACCTTCGCATCCTGGTGAAAAGTTTAGAGTATTTGTCCAGTATGCTTTTTCACAGTTTTTCTCTATAAAGGCACAGCCATTATGGGAGGTAACAAACTCGCCCTCATTTCTCTTCTACGTATCTAATACAGACTATTGCAGTGGCTTTCAAGTAAGAAAATCATCTGCTTTAAAGTAGTGATATGCATTTGGAGGAATGGGACTGGGATTTGAATATGTTTGCAAAGAACCACAAAGAGATTTAACGTGGTATTAAAATACTCACCAGCTAATACCAAGTTTGAAGAAGTGTCTCAAAATTGTAGAGTGCTAGCAGCTGTCAGGGCTGCTTTCTTGGTTAAGTGGACAGTGTTGCACATCAGTAATCTTGGTGTAGCAGAAAATCAGAGCTTTGAATTTAAAGTTACATAGTATAATTCTCTCTGGACTTCTATCAAGCTGTGCTTACCAAAAGTATACAAAGCCAGTGGTGATGAAACAGTTCCAGTCCCACGCTCATTTTGTATCTTCAGGCTTGGACGAGTCAAAGGTTTAAGTCTTGAAGTTAGTATCTGTAATCTAGAGAAATCAATACTTGCATCACAGTGCTTTGTAAATGAGGAACCATTTAGGAGGATGTTTACATGAACTGTGTGCTGTTTGTTATACTTAACAGCGGGGGTGGGGGGGGAATAAGATGCTTTGCTGTTACAGTCAGTGAAGCGTATTCCAGTGTGAGTGTAAAATTCAGTTCACACAAAGGGTCAAATTCTATGTTTATACCTTGTCTGAGGGACATTTTTTAAATTTAGGATTATGTACTTTATGACTCTGTATACAGGGTGAAGTGTTCACTTGCACTAATAAACAGCACATTTGCAGAGGTCAAAGCAAGAACCTTACCTGTATGGTAAAACTACAGCTTCTCTACTGTTGCTGAGCAGTACTGGTCAGTCTATACTCCAGAGAAACTGTAGTACCTTTTTGGCTACTGCTGTCTCTCTGCTCTTTACTCTTTTTCACCTTTGTCTTTTTGAGTTGTCATCTTTCTTTCCTTGTATTTCCTTCTCTGTGACAGCTTCATTTTTCTGAGCCTGCTAGGCTTCACCATCATCTTGTTCTTCAGCTGTGGCAAGGAAAAGATTTCTAAATCTTCTTACTCCCAGGCTGTTTGTAGTCTAAGGCTATAATGGTTTTGTTGTGAAAAGCATTTCCTGATAGGATCCAAACTAGAGTTTTTGGACATATCTCAAACAGCAGCCACTGGGCTGTTAAATTACTCCTGAGTGAAAGGTCGTGAAACCTGGCCTCCTCCAGCGCCTGCAACTGCCTGGCCCTAAGCAGTAATGTGATCAGTGGGGTTGACCCTGAAGGACTGCAAGGAGCTTGGATCAGTGATTTTTTTTCTAGGCTCTGTGCAATTCTTCACTGTTACTTTCCTGTTTAAAACTTTAGCTTTAGTGGTCCTGTAGTTAGGACACCTTGAAAACAATGTATTTGCTTTTACTTAAAACTCACATTATGGTAGCGCTACAAATAACATGAAGTTCCTCATATCTTAACTTTATCTGACGTATGTGACTAAAACAAGTTGGTTTAAAACCCTTTCGTATGTTTCTTTTGTACTCAGCTCTCTGTGGTAGCTATAGGAATTAGCATCTATAGGACATCAACTGTTGATATGCTCCTGAAGAAGCTGCTGGAAGATCAGAACTCGTTCCCCAATTTTGAACCTTTGGCATATTGGCAAATGCAATTCAACAACATTGCTGCAGTCACTGTGTTTTTTGTCTGGATTAAGGTAACTCCAAGACACACATCCTTATTCTAAAATTAGAATGTAAGCAGTATTCTGAGTTTCGCGTGATATATTATTTGAGTTTTAGTTGTGTTTCTTCTAAAATTGGTCATGTGAGAAAGTCAGAGCATAGGGGTAACTTCTTGCAGATTAAAAGCAAGATTGTAAATTGCCACAGGTTTAGTCAGCCCTTGTTTAAGTCTAGAAGATGTAGTCAGTGCTAGTGCTTTGTCACAGCAGACACGTAAAGAAATGTTTTTATTATTCCTGGATTGGTAAGTCAGTAATTCTCACTGGGTATTGCTTTTTCCTAGCCTGGTTTAACTGTGCCCATTTTATCTATTCAAAACTTCTGAATCGTTAGAAGGGTTGGTAAAGCTAGTCCAATTTATTTGAAAACTAGTTATATTACTTTAGTTAAACTTAATTTCTCACTTTTACTGTCTCCTTTCTCGTGATACTTCTTTTCATGTCCATGCTCATTTTCCTGTCCTCTGTATGAGTAAAATTGCACAGGAACATTTAGTTAATAAACTGTCTAATGGGGGAAAATGTAAGACCAATGATAAGTGAATTTCCACTGATACTCCAAACTGATACTTAGGTTTATCAAGCAAGTTAGCTAATCTCTTACTGTTTTATAAGACACAGTTGCATCTAATTTTTGGATCATGGTTTAAGAAATAAAGTAGCTTGTTATAAGAAATAATGGTAAACTGCAGAGTAACAGAATAATGCAGGTTGGAGGGGACCTCGGGAAATCTCTAGTCCAACCACCTGCTCAGAGCAAAGTCAGCTGTGAGATCTTCTTTTCTCATATTTTACTACTTCATAGCTAACATCTTCATTGAAGATAAATAAATAGGCTTTTGGAAGCATTTCGGTAACACTGCTCTGAAGCCAGGGTGCCAAATAGAGGAGTGAAAAAAACCAAACAAACAAAACCCCACGCCCAAACAAGAAGTTGGCATTCTCACAGAATTTTCTTCACATTTTAAGCCCCAGTGTTTTTAGGAAGTCATGTATTTCTAAATGTAAATTAACTGACTTTGTCTCCAATCAAATTCATTAAGACATCTCATACGTAAAAGTCTGGAGAGCGATTGTGTTAAGAAATTGTCTTCCTTGTCTTTACAGTTGTTTTGTTTTTTTTTTCTTTTAACAGCTTTTCAAATTTGTTAACTTCAACAGAACAATGAGTCAGTTATCCACTACCATGTCTCGCTGCGTCAAAGATGTCATTGGCTTTGCTATTATGTTTTTTATTATTTTCTTAGCATATGCTCAGTTGGCCTATCTTGTCTTTGGCACTCAAATCGATGACTTCAGCACTTTCCAGGACTGCATGTAAGTACAAGAATAAAAAATGCAAAGAATTTCTCAGTACATTGGTAAATGGATTTGGTTGCCTCATCAGAGACCAAACAAATCCTATGACATCCAGCTAAACAGATAAGCTGCAGACATATCACTGTTGATGTAGCTCAGCAGCAAATGCATTTTTTGATAACATTTTTAGTTCAAAAACTGTCTTTGCTCTGAGATTAAAAACATACTGTAGTTAGATCAGTGAGCTAAAAATGGCAGGTTTTCGTTGGTGGAAATGAAATGGTTTTTATAAGTTGGTCACATTCCTGTCTGTCTTCAGCAGTTGAATGATTATATGCTTACTTACGTTTGTAATGCTTACTGAGATGTTGTATGCATAATAACGCTGTTTTCCTGATAGTATGTGTAGTTGGTTGACTCACAAATGGAGTCCATCTTAGACAGCCAACTAGTAAACTTGTAAGTGTCTGCTGGAATCCAGGAGAGAGAGAGGATTTAATATAGGGTTGTTAATCAGTTTTTCCTTTATTGATTTGGTACAACATAACCTGATTCTAACTGAGGTAATTACCAGGTTGTTCAGTTATCAATTTCCCCCTGCCCCCTTACATTGGGGCAGTGTTGCAAAAAGTTTCTTGTAGAGAAGCAGAGGAACTTGAAATATGCTGATGGTGCTGTGCAGTGCCAAGCCTCTTCCAGCCTTGGCACTGTAGAGGCAGCTTTTTAGAGGGAGAGAGTTGGGGTTGTGTGTATGCAAGACGCAGAAGGGATAGCAGAGGGACAGGAGTGGGTCTTAAAGCTTCACATTGGTAACCATTGATTTGCTCTGCTTCCTGTTGCCCCCATTATCAGTTGTGACCGAAAGCCAGAAGTAACCGTCCTAGTTTTGTTCTGTGTGTGTGGCATCTGACTGCGAGTTTGGTTTTGCCTAGATATGGGCTTGAGGAATTGACTATTGCAGTGCCTGATAAAGTATTACAGTAGTGCAGACCTCTCTGCTGCCCATCAGTCAGACTGTTAGGGTAAAATAGATTGAGAATTCTTGCACAGCTCCAAAAGTGTGTTTTTTTTCAACTCCTGGCTATGTTTTGTTTTTTAAGATTTACTCAGTTCCGCATCATTTTGGGAGACTTCAACTTCACAGAGGTTGAAGAAGCTAATCGAATTTTGGGACCAATTTATTTCACTACATTTGTGTTCTTTATGTTCTTCATTCTTTTGGTATGTACACCTTCGTTTATGCGGGGTGGGTAGGTGGCCATTTTTGCATCTCTTGTTCTTTGAGTCTTACTGCTACTTAGGGATTTTTTTGATAATGGTGAGTGTGCAGTCCATGTAGGGGCCTGACTGTTACATGGCCGGTCACTACACTCTTCAATTTTTTTTCTTCATTTAAAATAGATTTGCATTGTATGTTTGTTGTCATTCCCATCTAGTGCTCCACACTGTGGGTGTTTTTTATTTATATCTTTTTATTATTATAAATGTATTTTTATTTCTAAAATCTGAATAGTGCCTGGCTGGCATACACAGCAAGCCCGTATCTTTTGATGAAAAGTAGCTGTAATGTTCCATACAGGCTCTTAGTTTATAAAGCACTCTAACGCGTGGCTGGCTATGTTTACAACAGCCTAGTTCATGCATGCAACACACAGCTTGTCTGCTAGAAGAGCCTAATTCATCAGCAGTGCAGCGGCTTTCAGATATGCAGGTTTGCCTGCAAAGGCCCTTTTCTATCCTCTTTTCCTTCTCCAAGGCAGAGTTGGGCCCTGTCTTTCTCACCTTCCCAGTGCAGATTACCTGTACACTTTTTGACAAACAGTATTATAAGAAGCTCAACTTATCTGAGAGGCAGTATGTAGACATGATTGTCTGACAAATAAATTCAAACAGTGAGTATAGTTTGAGTGAGTACTCATCTTTTGTATACTCTCTGTTAATACTAGTATTAGTATTAGGAGGAAGGATACCTCTCTCTTAGAAACCTAGGAGACCAAGTAAATGCTTTTTTTTATGTTGATATAAGTGAAGAGCCCCAGTATCTTCTAGCTGGATGTGGTTTTCAGTTAGTTTGGTACTAACATTAATATTTAGTAATTTTGTTTCTGATTATATCACCAGACGGAAGCTGTTATGTGAGCAAGAAATCCTCCGATTATTCCTCAAACTATGTGTCTTTTGGTGATTTGATAAGGTGGCAAGCATTAAAACAGGATTTTACTGACCTTAAAATGGTACAGCAGTCCTGTATCATCATAACTTTTAGAGTTATTTAATGACCCTTGTACTTAATGAGTCTTTTTATTCTTTGAGATGAGGAGAAATGGCATTCAGATATTATTTGTGGGAGAAGATTTCATCTTGGCTATACACTAGTAAGGAAGTGGAGAATCTGAAGTGTTCACTGAGATGGACCAGTAGTCAACTGGAAGATAACGTATGGGTCACTCTGGCCGAAGAAGCACATGAAGCGGGTTTCATATTTGGTTTGAAGCATCTCACAAAATGCAGAGGAGCAGAGGCTAGTGTCCAGCAAGGGAAAGAAATATTTTCCTAAGGGGTAGCAGAAAAGCACTGGAGTGGGAAAGTACAGCAGCTTATCCAAAATACTCGCTATAATTTGTATGCTTGTTAATATCTGCACATCCTGTCCTTTGGCTGGAGTGAAATGTTGCTGTAAACTCCTTGAGACCTGGAAACTAAGTTAGGGAAGATGGGCAGAAAGCACCAACTCTTAATGTTGAAGCAGCTGAAAGCAAAATAGACAGTAGTCAAGTTACCTCTTACTTCTCTGGTGTTGGGCAAGAATGCATACAGATACAGCATTGGAAGATTGTTCTCCTAAAGCATTTTTTTAAGTCCATGAGGAAATAGAGGTTAACGCTACCTTTCTGCATGAGTGGCACATTGAACGTGCCAGTAAATGGAGTAATTCTTTTTGGACTTGAATGTCCAGCTTTCAGTTCAGTCTTTTTTACTCCATGTTCAGCATAATGACAGCATGGCTCAAGTACAGGGTTAGTGAGACCAATTTTTTTTCCTTTTGCCTGAAGAAGCAACCAAACTCTTTTCAGAGTTGGTGGCATACATGCCAAGTGTCTGATTTTAAGCTTTTTTGTTTTTATCTTTAATCTGAAAAGCAAGCAGAGCTGCAACTAGATAAGAACCTTATGTTTGCATTGGTTATTACGGGATGAACTTGATTCCTTAGGTATTTTTGTTGCTGCTGCGTTGCCTAGATTAATTCACAGTTGTTACCTGTGTAAGTTTGGCCTTGCAGGTAGAAGGCCAAACTTACACATATAACGTTAAACAGGAATGGTTTACTGCCGCTGCTGTGTGTAGGCATGAACCCTCTCTGGAAAGTAATTCTCCAGTTATGTTAACAATCAGTAGGTCTTGATTAAAAGTTGTTATACTGCAGTGTGTCATATTTCAATATCTCAAGCTCTTGATGTTAGTACTTTTTAAACAGCCCGCCATTTTCTCCTGGCCCTCTTTAAAAAATTCATGTATAGGTCTGCACATGAAGGTCATAGGAGTAGTACGGCTTAGACTTGCTGAAATTTTTAAATGGGCTTTTTTATTTTTCTCATGAACAGAACATGTTTTTGGCCATTATCAATGATACATACTCTGAAGTCAAATCAGATATGGCACAACAGAAGGCAGAAATGGAACTGTCTGACCTTATCAGAAAGGTAAAAGTAACATTTCCTCATTCCTCACATCTGAACTTACTTCATAAAATACTAATAAACCGTACAAAGTAAAGCTGGCAGCAGCTGATGAAAATACACATCTCTTAGTTAAAATAAATTAATCTGAGCTGAGTGTAAATTAAATGAATTAAAACTTTCCATCACAACGTATTTTAGTCAGCTGAGACTTTGCGTTGAATGATCAGCCTACTGAATATGACACAGGATTTGTCTGTCTAGGTACATAGAGAAATATTGAACTGTTGAAGCTAAACTGCTGTTTGGTTTGGTCACAGAATTCAGAATTACCTCGTTTCAGGCAATAAGATGAGGCAAGTCTTGGATAATGTGTTGGGAGCTCCCAGGGGCAGCTGCCAGTAAGGTTGTTGAATACAAAGTTAAGACCTTGACCTGAATCCCAGTTTAGGAAAAGAACGTGCATGTGCATGTGCTCTGGCATGGATACAGTGCTGTATCATGGTCAGAAATGTCTAAACACGTACTCAGCATGACCAGTAACTCAAGAGTTTGAAACTTGGAAACTGGTTATTAAAACAGAGCAGAGAAAAATGAAAAGTGCTACTTTGTTGGGATAAGAACTTCTTAAAAGTCATTCCTACAACTGAAGAATGAGAGATAAGCAAAATGACTGCAGAAAGTTGTACCTGTTTTGTCAGCATTATTTGAAACTGTCACTTAACTGTCAGTAACTGTCAAAGGTGTCTAACTGGGACAAAATACTCCTTTCCTACTGACCTGCAGTGCAAATTGAATGATGGAAGCCTTACCTCTAACTGCAAAGGTATTTGTATGTTGCCCATTTAAACGCTGAAATAAAAGATGGATAAACTGGAGGAAAAGACAGATTTTTGCAAGGCTTTTGGAACACACTGAATGATAGTGTACAGTAGCTGATTTTTGTAATCAAAAAAGTTATTAGAAATCAAGTGTTAACATTTCACGAGAAGTAAAACGTGAAATTTCACTTTTTCTTTTAGGGCTACAACAAAGCCATGATCAAACTTAAATTGAAGAAAACTACTGTTGATGACATTTCAGAAAGTCTGAGACAAGGTGGGGGAAAACTAAATTTTGATGAACTCCGGCAAGATCTAAAAGGGTAAGGAAGCTGTTACTTCTTATCTTGAATAGTCTCCCCAGAGACATGTGATGTTAAGTCTTTGATGTGAATTGCTCTTGCTGAGAGTACTTTTCTTTTGGTTAGTGGATAACAAAGCATGTGCTTTTCCTGTATCTGGTGGGAGGTTTATGTAAACAATCAGATGTGTACAGGTAAACAATCTTTGCATGTGGGTCTGCAGGCATTGCACAAAGGAAAATTCAAACTGTGGCATGGAACTGCGGAAGAAGAGAGAAGAGGAGTGGGAAAAGAATGGTCAGTTTGAGGGAAGAGAAATCTTAACTAAGGAGGTCTGCTGAGCTCTGGTTCCTGGAGTCTGCACTATGGCTGGTGTTGCTGCAGTGGGGTGGCATCCCACACCGGAGAAGGATTTGGTGCTCTGGGGCCCAACCTCCTTGAGTTGCTGTGTTGTGGGAGAGAAAGGGTCTGAGGAAGCAGAGATCTGAGGCCTTAGGAGGAGGAAACGGTAATGTTTCTATCAGAGCCACTGCAGGAGTTTGTGAACAGGCAGGAGTCCAAGGAAAGGGAACAAATCAAGGAGGTATAAAAGAGATGGTTGTGAAGGAGCAGGGTGCAGTCTAGGGGAGATTTGTGCTATTAACTAATGAAACGTGAGGGCTGAGCTTTTTGTTATCAGTGTTGTGAACTTATAGGCAGCACTGGGATCAGTCGTGTCTTTGGCTTGGGGATGAAAGTATGTTTGGAGTGAAGTGTTTTTCTGATACTTGAAGTTTGTTCAGCATCTGAAAAATGGAAAGTAAGGGAACTGTTTTTGCTGCCTTTTCAGGAAGGGGCACACAGATGCAGAGATTGAAGCAATATTTACAAAATATGACCAGGATGGGGACCAGGAATTGACAGAGCATGAACATCAGCAGATGAGAGATGACCTGGAAAAAGAGAGGGTGAGCTCAGCGTTACGAGTGGTATGCCACCAGCGCTGTCTGCCAGTCTTCTCCCCGTGCTATTTTGCTGCCTCGGAAGAATCCTCTTATTTCCCTTCACATTTGCTCTCATCCATGGCTGTCTGAGCGTAACTATAAAAAGGCAAGGGGGAGCTGATGGAGGGCAGGAGGTCTTTGACCTTGACACCCCCATCCCCCATGTACAGGTGGAAGTCTTTACATCTTTCCTGTCTGTGGCTTCTGTTTTCACAAAGGAGGATCTGGACCTGGATAGGAGCTCTCTGCCACGTCCTCTGAGCAGCCGCAGCTTCCCCCGGAGCTTGGACGACTCCGAGGAGGATGAGGATGAAGACAGCGGACACAGCTCCAGGAGGAGGGGCAGCAGCTCTAGTGGGGTTTCCTATGAAGAGTTCCAAGTGTAAGTTTATCCTTCTGAAGGGGATGAATCTGCGTGGTGTGTGGGGGTTTTTTGGTTTGTGATTTTTTTTTTTTTTCCTTGTGGGTTTTCTTCTTTCAGTTATATAGTAGTCTCCTATAACTCTGAATATTAATCAAATTATTCATAAAAGTAAATGTTATGTTTTTGAGGTGCCTAAGTCACTCCTTTTAGTAGTTTTCAAGTAATATCTAAACAGGAAGTACTTTAGAGAGGCTCATGGGAATCAGTTAGAAAACCAAAACCAAATCAAAACAAACAAACAAAAAAAAAAACCCTGTCCTTAAAACCTGGTCATTGAACTTACAGAGGAAATGGTCGTGCTACAAAAATGCCAGAAGACTTGTCTGGGTTTTTTAGTAGTAAAACCTTGAGGTTGTTTTAGGTTCAGTGAGAACTTCAGCTGTTGTTTTTAATAAGATAAAGTTACTTTTGAGTGTGTATTTTGCCTAAAATGATAGATCTCCATATTAATTAATTATAGCAACACTAGCTGAATGAAGAATTTGAGTAACTAGAAACAATAAATTTTGATGAGGATGCCTTAAAAGAAGGGAAAACAGAGTGGAATATGTACTTTTTTTCCCCATTTGCTTTACTCCTGTGTTACCTTCTTGCTCTTGTGTACCTTGTCCCTTCCTGGACAGTAGGACTCATTTGTGGAAAGTCGGGCGTGCTTGAATTAAAATGCTGTCTCATCCTTATCTGCTCTGTGTGTTGACGTGCTAGAACGATACTGACTTGGAAATGTCAGAGTCACTGAAGATCACACTTGTTGCCCTCAGACTCATGAGGCGGGTAGATCGCATGGAGCATTCTATCGGCAGTATTGTCTCCAAGATCGATGCAGTTATTGTGAAGCTTGAAGCAATGGAGAGAGCCAAACTAAAAAGGAGAGATGTGTTGGGAAGACTGTTAGATGGAGTGACAGAGGTAAGAAACCCACTCTCTCCTGTCTGGTCACAACCTGCACGGCTTGCTTACTGTTAGCACTTCTTCCTACTGCTTGGCTTGGGAGGGTTGAGCGGAGTGGTGGTAAAGACGAGGTGGGTGCTTTGGCAGTGGCCAAGTTATTTCAGTTTTGTGTTAGGAAAACATGAAATTTAAAACATGGAATGTTAAGGACATGATGCAAGTTTCAGATATGACAACCCATCTAATAGCAGGCCTGTGTCACACTGAGGCAACACAGCACCATTTAAACCCCTGAACTGGACAGCAGTGGTGTTCGGTAGTTGCTGAAGCAGCTCGTTCATCCTTTGGTGTCTGTTGGGATTAATACAAAGCTTTTTACGGTCTAGTCTGTTAGAGTCTGGGGGATCCAGCCCAGCAGGCCCATGCAGCCTGCTCTTCTTCTCCCATGTTGCTTCTGGGATTGTGTGTGGCAGGTGGAAGCAGGTCACTTCTGTCACCAGGGTTATCTAGCTTCTGTTGCCTCCCCTCCCACCTTCTCTTTCTTGAGGGCACTTTGGAAGTAGCCAGTGGGACAACTGTGTTATTTCTGTGGACGCTAAAACCTGTCAGCTTCCTGATGGGGCAAGAACAGCCAGAACAGGGCTGTTAAGCGGTGGGCGAGATGGACTGTCTTGGTGGGTTATGTAGGTAAGACTTCTAGCTGTCCTGTCACAGATACGGTGTTCCTGACTGTTACTGTTGTTCCAGCCAATAATTCTGCTTCATTCTTGAGACGGGGCTTCCTTATGTGTCTGCTGTCCTCAGTATATTTTACATTTTTGCAGGGGGATTTAAATATTAGAAACTAATACAAATTGTGCTTTCATAAGTGAAGGTGACAACCTGGGCGTTATGTCACTGGAAAGAAAACAGTTTACTGCACTAGCTGTGTTTCTCCACTAGCCTATGGAAATACTTGAGTGGTATAAGAATTTCCCATGTTTGTATAGGGTTTTGCTTAGACTGCAGTTTGGAAGCTGTGCTTCCAGCTTGTGTCTTTTAATCTGTTCAGGATGAAAGACTGGGTCGTGACAATGAAATCCACAGGGAACAAATGGAGCGACTTGTGCGAGAGGAGTTGGAGCGATGGGAATCAGATGATACGGCATCCCAAATGAGCCATCGGTTGGGAACGCCACTTGGACTGAATGGCCAGCCTCGTTCAAGGAACTCTCGGCCATCTTCCTCCCAGTCGGATGGTATTGATGGGGGAGGAGGAAATGGGGGGAATAACATCCATGTGTAGGATTAACTTTGTAGGTGATTCTAAACATTTCAGGTCAGTATTAAGCCAGCAAATACACTGCTCCACTGTTTCCCAGTATGAGGTGATCGTCCTGATCAGACCACTAAGGACAATTTTCACTGGTGGGCAAAAGTAAATATTCTCTTCATAAGGCATTTTCAGACCTATGTAAGCCATGTGTCACATTCAAGTTACCAACAGTGAGACTGTCACCCTTGGAAACGAAAATGCAGGAGACAGAATGGAAACCAGGTGTGACAAAATCTACCTGGACAGAATTTTGGTTCCATACATGTATTTTGGGGAACACTTTCACGAGGGCAGCAAGCTTCAGACAAAATAATGTGCTGTGGCTAAAACACTCAAATGAAAGGCTGAGTTTTCTGCTTTCTATTGGAAAATATGATTTTTAAATGCTTTTAAAAGCAATTTTTAAAAGAAGATGGCATCAGTTTATTGTCTCCTTCATTATAACGGCTGATACTTTTCAAAGAGATAAAACAGCACTTTTTTTTTACTTTGAGTTTCTACCTATTTTTCTGAGTTATTCTTGGTGTACTAACATTTTAATTAACTTAAATTGTTCATTTTTTACTGTTTTTGAGAAATACTATGTTTCTTTAAACAGAAGAAAGTGCACTTAGTTTGCACAACTGTAAATCACATTATTCCATAATAGAAACTGTACGCATTACATGGGTTTGCATTTCATTAGCATTTCAAAAGTAATATTTGGGAATGGCCTCCTCACACCCAAATAACGTAATCATTTTCAGCTTTGTTGCAAAGTGCCCATTTTCTAATGCTATGTTTTCATGATCTAAGTGTTCCTGGGATAAACATTCCACAGGTTCTTCGGTAAATATGGTTACTTTGCAGAAAATGTATTATTTAAAAGCACACAAAATTGAAAAACACTAACTCTTCCTTGGGTGTGACAGAGAAGGGGCAGAGACATTGCTGACAGTTGGGAAAATCCAATCTTGTGCTCTATCACATTCTGATCGCGTCTCGACTATGTAGTTTGTATTTACATTTAACAGAACTGCTTGTAAAATTATTAAGTATATTTCTACATATGCTTTTCTGCTGAGGTGCAACATGTGATTCCTGTGGAAAGGTGTTTGTAGTATAATCACTGATTTTTAGTATTTAATTTCCTCTGCTTTCCGTGTCATAGAAGCTTTGTTTTTGAAAGGAGATGCAACACTGAAATTACGCTGGCTTCCTATAGAAAGCATCGAGGCATAGTGTTTGTAGTTTTGCCTGGCAACGTGTTTCCGTATGTTGAATGCCGGGTTAGGAGGGAGGGTTTCAGTTGTGCTTTTTTCCTGAAGATGGCAGTTGTCTTGTATTATTACACCGACTTAGAGTCGGTGTAAAGGAAAATGGAAAGCTACATAATCAAACACATCTTAACTATTAGTAGGGTATATAGAGGAAACAATGCCTACTTAACAAAGTGTAAGTAGCACGTATATGTTAGGTTGGTGCTTTTTATTTCAAAAAGCAGTTATTGCCAGGGGTTAGCACCTCATTCTTGTGGTAGTACTGCTTAGGCAAAGCTTACATCTTGCGTCTGTTCTTACCACTGCATTGCCTGGATGTACAATGACTCAGAATGCCTTCCCTCTAACCAGAGAACTTGTTAAAACTAAATAGACTTCATGACTTTCCCTATTTTTAATTTTACAAAAAAACATATGCACAGAAACTTAATGTAAGGTGGAGCAGGAGGAAGTTCAATGTGGAGATTGGACCTTCTTAGTAGCTTTGGCTTGAGAACAGAACGACGTGGGAAAACAGGTTGTGATTCTTGTGGAGTATTTTTTCTTTCTGTGGGTTATTTTGTCCTATACTAGGAAGAAATTCATACTCTTTCACAAGAGACCCCGTCAACTTCCCAAAACAGCGCACAGCACAGTGGTTAGGGCATTTGTGTGAAACGAGAGACATGCAGACTAAGCTCTGTCTTGCCTTGATTGAAAGTTTTTGGACCTTAGAAACCTTCCTGAGGAAAGCTTTTCTGTGTTGAACTGGCACTTCTGACTTTAAACAAACAAACAAACCAAAAAAACACTAGCTGTACACATGGCCAGCTGGTGTGCAAGGAAAATAGAAAATACAATACAAAGCCATTTAAATATACATAGCCTTGTCTTTATATTCATATCCAGAATGTGTAGTATGTTGGTATGTGACATGATTTACAGCTTAAACTTTGAGGCATGCTAACTAATTACATGTGTGTAACATGGAATTGATGTTGGGTTTCTAGGGTCAAGGGTTCTAAGGTAGTATTTAAATAATCATGTACTTAAAATCAATGACTTTGGTCAAATGACCCAACTTGAGTTGTCCAGCAATCAGCTGGAACTTTACTAAGAATACCTTGTGTTTAAGGTTTGTGCCTGTGGCCTGTAAAGCATGTGGCATGCTTGAGGTTTATGGCAGCAGGGACTGGGGAGTGTGCAGAAGTGATCTAGCAGTCGTGTGTTGGTAAGGCAGGGCCTTCCTGGGGGGAAAGAAAGCAAAACTAAACCGATCAGTATGGTTTTAAATAGGTTTCCTGTAAAAATGTATCTTTCGAACTGTGTGATTGAATTTACATTTTTATCTTTTATTTGTAGTATATGTTTATTATGAAAATGTTTGCATTCATAGCTGTATTTGTTAAGGTATATTTCTGTAACGTGTCGTTACTTAATAACAAACTTCATCTTGAAGTGCAGTAAGTTTTCATGGGGTACCCGTGTGTGTTGACAATGGGCCTTGCAATAAGTGCATAGCCACTTGACCAATGTTACAAACATTTTATTACTTCATTTTTCAACTTTAGATTATAATATCATTTGTCACTTATTACAAAGGTAAGGTTTTTGCGTAGTAATGTACAGTGTTTGGTCGTATTAGGAAGCTGTTAATTATGCAAGTCTTCTACAATGATCAAGAATGTATTGATCTGTAAAACTGAGCACTTTACTTCCTAATAAACATTTTATATAATCTATAGAGCAAACATCGTGCCATACACTTGGTTTGTTTATAACGGAATGTTAAGAATGCTACATTTTATTTGTGTGTGTTACTTCTATCTCATACCTTATCCTCAGATTACTTAATAATGTAAAATGGAAGTACAGGGTGTAAATGAACAAAGAGCACTGGGCTGATCCTACTGCTTCATTGTCCAAACAATACTTTTTTTAATACTTTATTTCACATTTGCGTTTGTGCAAATGCACAGGTCTATTTTCTGCTATTTCCGGTAGCGGCTCTGACTGCTAGTAACTCTGTCCCTTTATTACTTCACAGTTGCTGTGTAAGTTAACCTCTCTACTCTTTTTCTCTATTCCCCTTTATTTTTTCTCTTTGTTTCAGGGAATCCTGCAGCATCTGGAGGGTTGAATGGTCCTTGGAAATCCCAGACTTGCATATAAGCCCCATAGTTCTGTCTGGACAGCTGTCTCACCAGGTCAAAAGTATACCATATTAATGAAAATCAAATGCTTAATGTAAATCAATCTCAGTCTTTAATGAAATACATACATACTGAGTTTATTAAGTATATTAAGCCTTCAGTCAGTGCACTATAAAAGTTGCAGTGTGTGGGAAGTGGGAACTTTTTTATTTAATACTGTGTGTATGCTGTAGTGCTCACTTTTGGAAACTTCTTCAGGAAGTGCAGTTTGAGATGCATGTTTGGAATAAGAGCCACATAATTCTTCCATATCCCATGGGCATCACTTGGATGCCTTGCATATTCAAATACTCTTCTCCAGTAAATCTAAACAAGAATAAAAATGAGAAAAAGGGAGAAAAGTTAATGTTATGATAAAACATCTGCAAGCAATTGTTACTTATATATTTAGGTACCAATGGGGCTTTTTTGGTTCCCCGCTTATATAGAACGTGCAGTGTGAGCGAAGAGGATAGCAATTGGAGGTGGAGTCATCGTCCTTCTCCAGAGTCCGTTCCACAAGCAGTCCTTCAGGAGGACGTTTATGCTGTTTGTGTCCCTGGCCCCTCCCCATACAGCATCTCTGGCCCTGCTGTGGTCCCCAGGGCAGCGATGAGCCCCCTAGGAAACACAGGTAATTGGTGGCGGGAAGATACATAAGCAGCACTGCTTTCAAGAGGGAAGGCAGAGCCTAACTAACATCTCAGAGACGCTTAAGTCGTGTCAGTCTTTTTTCTGAACTGAATTGCTGAAATTCTGATGCTTGCAAACCATTCTTCCCTTTCTGCACACAAACTGAATTAATTCAGAAGCACAGTTGTCTTCCATTTTGCTAAAAATGTTTTTTAGTAGTAACTCAGATTATGCCCTGTTTTACCTGAAAGATGCTGTGGATAGCTGGAAGAAAAATCGGTTCTCAATTGCTAGTAAACAAATTATAAAGTATTATTTACTAAAGCATGCTAAATAGAAGAAAACACTACTGCTATATACCCCTTTCAGTAAGAGTTTAGTTCATGCTTTGGGTCTTCCAGAAGAGATGCAACATTGTATTTCAAAAGAAAATAAATAGTTTGCAAAACAAACCAGTCTTCTACAATGGAGAAATGCAAAAAAGCTGTCAGAAACTTTTTTCCCTTTGTGCAATCTTAACAAAAATAGCAGCTTGGGTTCCGACTTGTTTTCAGGAACATAGGAGTGCATTAGAAGATTTGATTCTGATTTCACAGTAAGTCTGTGTACCTTCTGTGCCATAATGGTCCTTCCAGGTTTTAAGCACTGATCATGCAAAATGAGTACAGAAAGGCAGAGGGACAGCTTAATGGTTCCGGCGGTAGACTGACATTCAAAAGAGTTGTCTCCTTTGTGTCACCTTGCCCTGATGTGTTAACACACAAATTCAACCGGTCCCAGCTTGGTTCAAAGGACTGTTACAAACATGCTGGTGCTTAAGTGTCAGTAATGCTAAAACACCAGTGGGATCACAAGCAAGTTTTCCTTGGACTGGAGATTTCTGGCAGCTCTTCCACTTTGCTTCTACTCTACGGAATACTCGGGGAGACAGAAACTGGATCCCAGGAAGCAAAGAGCAGGCCTGAAGGCAGCAAACTTGTGCCTTTTGTAACAGACATGGATTTGGACTTGATGTGAGAGCAGCTTTCCTGCAGCCAGGTGTTCAGGTATTTTGGAGCAGGCCTACCAGCAGTGGGATGCTAGGAAGAGAGCAAGAAGTTTTTTGAAACTCGGGGAGTGTACTGGGTTTGTGTGGCTCTCAGGAAGTTATTAGTAATAAATGCAAGACTTAGACTGCCAATGGACTGATGGTGACAATTTGCATCAGCCACAGTTTTGCTGGTGACATCTTGATGAAAGTTTAGACCAGTACATTCATTCATTTGCAAAGCCTTGAAATGAGTAAAAGAAGATTAGCAGATATTCACAGGGACAAAATGCTCATTGAAAGACTATTCACGCAAAACAAATCAACAATATTAAACTGTTAGATTGGAAGAAGTTGTTTATGTCTGTAAAAGCCATAATCACACAGACACAGATTATTTAGAAAATAGGAGTGTGTCACATGGAAGATCCAGGGGAGCAACTCCAGGAGTCTTTGTTGGCATTGCTGCTGATTTACATTATCAGATTGTATGCTCTCGTCTTGTGCTATACCTTTTGTGTAAAAAATACACAGCTAAACACAAAGTGAGTGATTGCACTTTACTGACTGTTCAAGAGACAGCAAATTGATGTTTATGAAAATATCATTTACCAGTTAATATTAGAAAACCATTGCCCTTCTTTTTTTTCCAAATTAAATGAAGGTCTCTTTTGGAAGATTATTTGAATAAAATGTGCAGAAAACCTAGCACTATTAGGCTGTAGCAAGGAATACTGAAATTTTTTATCCAGGAAAGAAAAATTCGAATACTTTTAATATTTATCAGCATCCCAGAGAAAATCTGCAAACAGAAAACATGTAACTACAAATCCATAACAGGAATTGTTTGAAGAGGTTTGACTCACCTTGGACTGACGCCAGTGCCTGTCCAGAAACAATTTTTGTCATGTTACCCGAGATGCCTGTCTGCAGTCATACAGAGCAGGGTATTGCATCCTAAGCACTTGACTCTGTGCCCACTAGGTCAATGGAAACATAATCAACGCCTTACAGGGGGCAGGTGGCAATTTTATAATACTGGAGGGTGGGGGAATAACTGCAGTGTTGTATTCTTTGAAGAACAAGTGTTACCGTAAGTCAGCAGATGAAAAACTCTAAGACTCAATCTGGAGTTTTAGAAAGCAGGCATTCTTTATTGCGGCGGCGCATGCTAGGTGGAATTTCCACAAATCAAGCACACCTATGCCGAGTTCACCGTTACATTTATACACAAAAATTACAAGGTAGTATACTCGCAGTTACAATGATTGGTTAGTGATTTGCATATAATTATAATATCTGCTGTGTCATTCTCTTCTGTTACTATGCTTGCGCAGGGGAAGGGTCTTCAGCTGGGCAAGGGTCATCTTGCCCTGTGGGTGTGTTTTTTAGTATTACAATGAAGGCAGTTCAGGATACCTTAAAACCAAGTTTTGTTGCCAAGTTGGCCAGATATATATCTACCTTGTCAGGTTGTCAAATAACTCATCCTATATACAATAGAACCTAAGTGCTCTGGTTACAGTCTAGAGAGTAAGGACTAAGGCTAACATGGTCCAGAGAATAGGGACTTCAAGCAACACAGCCTCGGATGACAAGCAGCACAGCAACCCATACATAATGCTAACATAGAGGCTAACCTTATTATTTCACAACAAACACAAAATATAGAACGATTCAGTAAAACTTAAGATAATCTTCAACACAAGGGTGACTAAAATATTGCCAAGTCAGCTTTCTTGAGAATGGAATGGTCTGCTTAAGACAGCATGACACAAAACCCTATGGAGGCAAAGATTATTTCTCTCAAAATATGAAGGAAATACATAAGACTGGAGAAGCACGATTTACTGATTTATTTTAACAGGCTAGGTTAGGCATTAGTGATGTTTGCATTTCTGCAGCAGGAAAAAAGCGGGGGCAAGAACTGATAGAAAGTGTCTGGGTCTATGAACATGTTTTGACCTGCCTGTTCTTGGGTTCATGAGCTGTATGGGTTAATCAGTATGTCTGATGACTTCTTTTACCCTCATTTTGTGATTACTTCAATCCCATGTAACGTCTTTATCTTTTTGGATAAGGATGTTTTTCAACAGTATGGCAGCACTTCAGAAATTGTGCAGTCTTGGTGATATGGTTGTGAAGTACTTTCATCAAAGACCCAAGTGTAAAATAACAGAGACTGCAGAGGCAGTAACTATGCCTGAGCAGCAAATATAAGTTTTCTTCTGCACAAGGCACCTTTGCCCTTTTGACATGCTCTTTTTCAAGTATTGTAGGCATCAGGTTTGCAGTGTATTAAATGTGACAGCATTGTCAGACATTGTTCCAAATAATATTGTAAACCTACTGCAAATTTGCAGGGGGTTGCACTGAGTTGTTGTGAAGTGTATGTTAGAAATTATTTTTTCAAGTAATCTAATTGTGTGTCATATCAAAGATACAGGGGAAGAAACTGAAAAATCTTTTAGCACTGACAATCACAAAAACAAAGTAAACGTTTATCAGGAGGTTAGCAACACTCACCGCATTTTGTCCAGTTGCTCTTGCTAGAGTCATCAAACTGGCTGTATAGGTGCTAGGATGAGAGTAATCGCCATGGTAAAGAAGGCTGCAACTTTGGCTTGAAACCTTTAAAATAAAAACAATACTTGGTCTTTCACCAGGCCAGAGCTTTTTGGTTTGGCTGGCAGTATTGTGTTCAGAATACACAAACACAGAATACTGTGTTCAGGTTTGGGTCCCTCACTACAAGAAGGACGTTGAGATGTTGGAGCGTGTCCAGAGAAGGGCAACAAGGCTGGTGAAGGGTCTGGAGAACAAGTCTTATGAGGAGCGGCTGAGGGAGCTGGGGTTGTTTAGCC